AGAAGCTCCTAAACCAGGGGAAGATTGATGACAAGGACCTTCTCCCAGAGCCAACAGAGAAAGCCTTCCCCTGGAGCTGGTGCCCTAAATTTGGACTTCTAGCCTCCTAGACTGTGAGAGAATAAACTTCTATTTGTTAAAGCCATCCACTTGTGGTATTTCCGTTGTAGCAACACTGGATAACTAAGACCGATGCTAAGAAGGTTTTACCAACTCTGAGCTGACTGATGAATCCTGGAGTGCTGGGCTGAGGCCTGGAAGGATCAGTTAAAAGAATGTCAGAATCTGTTAGCAACACCTACCATGGGTTAGGGAGACAGTAAAGGAGCAGATGAGGTATTTGCTAAGCATGCTTCTGGATTAGATTTTTAAGCCTAAGGGATCAAAGACTTTTTCCCAATGTACACAAAATGGTCTTTTCTGGCCTAATGGGATTTTTAGGAAGGGCCATGGGAAGGAAATCCAAGTCCTTTTGTTCCAAGGAGACTCCTAAACAATGTCTGCCGCTGTAACCCGCAGGCTGGTGCAGCACCCCCACACACACCCCCATAAGTGAGGGCCCACCTTCCTGAGTCACTGAGGCAGGTGGAGGCCCCAGGCCACTTGCCTAACCCCATGGGTTGCCCATCTTCTCTGCCATCAGGACTACTTTGCTTGGAAGGGAGAGAGGAGGAAAGGGGCTTTCAAAGTCCAGAGAACCACACCCACAGGTAGGCAGCCGAATGGAACCTGAGCCTGGAGGCCAAATCCAGCTGGGCGGTGCTCTGTCCCTATTTGAACACAGGGACATGGGGAGGCTTGAGAGTAAAGTCCAGTGAAGGCATCGTAAGGCCTGACCAGGGTCCCCCCCACTCCTCCCCTCACGGTAGGGAGACTGCAGAATGCAAGTAAAGATGAAAAGCACAAGGCCCGCAGGGGATTAATTACTCTCGTGTGTGGTCTTTCTAGCCATGGTCTTGTAACTCCCACCCAGGTGATTGTGTGATAAGGTAACTGCAGCCGACCCAAGGCGATTGGTCAGTTTTATCTTAAAAGAAAGCCAATTCCAGAGCAGAGAGGAGGATCCTACTACCACCAGCAAGGAAGACTGGTCAGAAGCAGAGAGCACGCCCTTTGGACCTGGAATCCCTGCGCTGAGAAGCTCCTGGAAGCAGAAGACTGAGAGAGAGCAAGCTGTAACCGTGAAGACGGTGAGAAACAGTGGCAGGAGAGACCAGACAGCAGGAGACAGCGTGGTGGACTTCCGGCCCACGGAGAGAGAAAGCTGAGTGCCTTTGGGCAGAGACTGAGGGCCAGGGAGAGGCGTGCCTGCCAGCACAGCTGGGGAGAGGCTATCATGATGTAAGGGCTGTGTATCCTGAGTGTTCTGGAGCCTGAACTGTAACTGTTACTTCCTTAATAAACCCCATAATTGTGAGTATGGTCTCTGAATTGTATGGCCATTACAATGAATTCTCAAACCCAGCAGAGAGTGCTGCAGGAGGGAGGGTTGGTGTCGGAGTTAGTAAAGATGGCGGAGAGAGGAGGCTTGTCTGGCCTCCGCCTCATGGGAGTCAGTCTTGTGCTGTTGATCTTGGTTCTCCTTCCCCCTTGTAGGGTTGGAGGAGGTCAGACACTGCCCCCAAGCCGTTTTTACAATGCCCAAGTGATTTTGGTCAAAGCCAATCCAATTTCATGGACAGTCTCAGCGTTCCCTGGACAAGATGGCATCTTTATTCCAACCTTCTTGTGCCCTCTGTCAACAGGGCTTCAAGGTGTGGGTTCCAGTACAGAGTGAGTCAGAAAATTCAATTCAGTGGGTTGTGGCCAGAATTTTTAAGAAGTTAAACA